ATGTGTATCGCCATTCACAGCGCAACCCGTACTTCGCAGACGAGGGCATCCTCGTCAAGGCGCACGTGGCGGTAGCGGCAGTTGTCACGGTCGCATTTCCCGCGCGAAAAGAAGACACAGTCCGGCACCATGCTCCCAATAGCCTGTTCATCAGTACATACGCGACACCAGATGCAACACGGTTAGACCACGAGACCGCTCAAGCAAAGCGTGAGGGCACTCGATGCACAAACACGGACAAAGACTCAGGCACACTCGTAACTGCGCGAGCTCAACCTGCACCACCTCCACAAACCACCACCACCACCACCACCACCACACCTGGTGCTGCCGTGGGCACGGATTAGAGCATGCGGACGTGAGATAGCGCGGGCACACAGCGACGCTGGCAGGGTCGTGTGCAAACGCACAGGTTGGGCCGCGTCGACACTGCCCAAACCTGCACGGAAGAGTTTGTGTCAACGGGGCGAGTGCGTGTGCGTGTGTGTGTGTGTGCGTGTGAGGTGCTTGAGACAGCAACAACGCATTGAAAAGCAACCCAAGCGCATGACACACGCATACACAACGAGGATCACAACCGCTGTTACACCACACCAATCCATGCTGCTTGCAAGCGCACAAGCCATCCAGTTCCAATCAAATCCACAAGCAAGCCATTGTTCTGGCGTCTGTACCGAACAAAGTGCAGGCAGTTTGTCTTCTGGGTTGAAGGTCCCAATCCAGCATTGAAAGGCACGCCGCCACGTGGGGAGGTGGATCCTGGCCTGTGCCGTTGCGGAAGTGTTGGGCTGTCTCCCATCAACATGCCATGCGCCGCACCAAACCCACCACGGCTGCTCCCACGGCCACGAGGACTCCCACCTCGCCAACTGGGCGCAAACGCCGATGATGCCACGTGCGCGCCGCCGCCACCACGACCGCCACCGCGGCCACGGTGCGGAGACCCTCCTCCGGCTGCCAGCTCCTCGATGCCAACTGGTTTCATTTGCCCACTTGCCATGAGATTGAACAAGTGTCGTGGCAGCTGAATGTGAACGCTCTTGATGCCATGCCCTCTTCCTCCCCTTCCTCCCCTGCCCCTTCCTCGTCCCCTGCCTCCCCTGCCTCCTCTGCCTCCTCTGCCACCCCTTCCTCCTCTGCCTCTTGAGGTTGATCCACGCATCTGTGCACCTGTGTGTGTGTGCGTTGGTGCACGCGATATTGAGTGGCTGGTTCGTGAGTGAGAGGACAGCCCAGTTGGTAAATAAATATTCTTGGTAAGATTCCATGCACCGTAATACGTACGCTAAATTGTCATCGAATCATTCCATCTTTTCATGAAACTTGTTCGGCAAGCACAAGAGCTCTTTGGTTGCTTGTTGCCGAAGAACAAAAGGGAGGTCCTTTGTCGCTCCCCATCAACATCGCCATCAGCGTTTGCGTGTGTGTGATTTGTGCTTCTTGCTTGCACGCGCACATCTGCTCTTCTCGCCTTGTGGGAACTCCACCACTTAGCAATTCGCCTCTTCTCACGTAAGTGTACGATGTGGTGGAGGCTGCTGGCTGGTTGCATGGGTGGTTGCTTGGTTGGTTGGAGCGGCATGTGCTTGTGGTGTGGCGTGCCTGCTGCTGTTATCGTGGTGCTTGTGACGCTGCCTTCATGAGTGTTGTGTTATTTTGGGGCGGAGCAGGAAGGATAGCTCCCTGCCCCAACCTCTCTGTTTTCTCTTCGTATCTTCGTGATTGCTCACATGGTCACTGTGCGACTAAACTGGACTGGGCTGGACTGGACTGTTGTTCGTGTTGTTCCCACGGTCGTATTCTGGGCGTTTGCTGTGCTTTGCTTTGATGTGGTTTGTGCTTTGATGTGGTTTGCTGTGTGGTTTTGTGGGGGTGCAGACCAAACAGCATCTTTACTCTTGCGGGGCTGTCACACGTCACTTCTTCTGGCGTGGCCCGTCTCAGAGGAGTGCTCAAGACGTCAAAAGCGTCAAGCACGCGCTGAAGCAACGAAACGGTAACGAGACTCGCAACAACAACCACAGGAGCACCAGGAACAGCAGGAACAGCAGGAGCAGCAGGAGCAGCAGGCAGGCAGGCAGGCACCATGTCTGTGATTATCACGGGGTTTGACCCGTCCAACCTTGCCGAGTTTATTGGCCGCGACCGTCGCTGTCTCAAGGCCCTGCAGGCTTCATCATGGCCAGAGGCACTCGACATGTTCCCCATGCGGTGTGTGTGTGTGTGTGTGTGTGTGTGTGTGTGTGTGTGTTTGTGTGTGTTTGTGTGTGTTTGTGCGTGTTTGGTTTGTGCGTGTTTGGTTTGTGTGTGTGTGTGTGTGTGTGTTTGTGTGTGTGTGTGTGTTTGTGTGTGCGTGTGCGTGTGCGTGTGTGCGTGTGCGTGTGTGCGTGTGTGCGTGTCTGTGTGTGTGTGTTTGTGTGCGGTCATGTGTACAACGCAAGGCATCGCCCCACTTATCAGGCACTCATTGCGCGCCTTATTTGTAATCTTTATTCAGGGAACACTTCTTCCCAGAGATTAGCCGCGGCAAGTGCAAGGAATGCCCCAAGAACTACTGCACACACATCTCCAGCCTGTACACCAGCACATGTGCGTTGAGCCCCAAACAATCGTACACGCGTGTGTGAACGTGTGTGTGAGCATGTCCATGTGGGTGTGATGGAAACGCTCACACGTGTCCTCAGCCGTTTGCACTGCCACTGCCGCGCGTCCTGCTTGAACTCATATTCACCACATCATCACTCACTCCCATGTTCACTCCCACCATCACCGCCACCGCCGTCAGCTGGGGGTAAGACGCGGCGTGTGTCGACGCACGCCTTCTTCCGCGTGCATCTTGGGCTGTGGTATCCCATCACGGACGACCTCCTTCACAACTCCTGGCGCCGCCTCATCTCCTGCGAATACGGCATTCGGTGTGTGTGTGTGTGTGTGTGTGTGTGTGTGTGTGAACCTGTGTGTGTGTGTGTGCGTGCGTGCGTGCGCGCGCGTGCGCGCGCATGGTGTGTTCAATGCCACTCGACCGCTTCCGTTCCCGCACCGTTGATCCTTACGCCACACCATGCCACCACCACTACCACCAACAGCGGCAACGGACAGGGCAAAGGCCCGCCGGGCCCCAACGGGCTGGCGCCCATCTGCATCAACCCGCACCACTACCACGTGGACCCGGAGGACGAGCGCCTCTTCTTCGACCTCCTCGTCAAGGAGAGCTCCCGCGCAGGATTCACCGTCAGTTGTTGTTGTTGTTGCTGTTGATTTGTGTTGCTTGTGTATTTGATGTGTGCGGGCGTGTGTGTGTTTGCATGTGTGTGTGTGTGTGTATGTGTGGGTATGTGTGGGTGTGGGTGTGTATGTCTGTCTGTGCTTGTGTGTGCGTGCTTGTCTGTCCCCCACATGCCCTGGTGCTACTGCTGCTGTTGCTGCTGCTACGCATGTGTGTGCGTCAACACACCGCATGGTGCCTCATGCATGATGTTTCCCACGACGGTTGCTGCTCCTCCCTCCCTCCAAAACAAACACATTCCAATCGTGTCGTGCGGTGCAGATTGAGCACACTCCTTACGAGGCCGGCATGTACTACAAGCTCTGCATGGCCCTTGTTGACGCTTGTAAGTTGCTCTCACGCGCATGGCTCGTGCATGACACGTGCATGACACACACACATGACACACACGCACATCCACGTGAAGTCCCTTTATGCGACTGCTTCTCGTGAGAAGGATACTTCTGTAAAGTGTTGAGTGCCGACTGTTGTACTCACCCGCTCTGACGGAAACGAGCGGAACCCAGGGTTAAGCAAGCGAGGATAAGGTAGTCTCGGTACGAGACGATTGACAACACTGATCTAAAGGTGACGGCAACTTTTCTAGACCGCATAAACTGACGGAATAACTAATCATTAAAGCAGCAGGTATCTCCTACACAAGTCGGAGGAATAGCAATACGCATGTATTCTTTTACCATAAATAGACTACAGGAGATGTTTGGTCTATTATAAGAGTCCTGCCACTACCTACGGATCAGCACCAACTTTAGCGTGTTGAAGACACACACACACACACACCACACACACACACACACACACACACACACACACACACACACACACACACACACACACACACGACAGGTCTGCGATTGCAGCCTCACCCCCTGTTCCTCCCCTTGCTCATCTTCTTTCTCCTTCTTTCCTCGCTCTTGCGTCACTCTGCGTGCAGCCAACAAGTTTGTGCGGCCGTTGTGCGAGCAGGGCGACGACAACATCGCAGCACTGTCATCGACTATTGGCTACGGGACGGCGAATTTGCAGCACTCGCCGCCCCTTTCCGCCAACAGCAACCAGGAGCAAGTACAGTTCCAAGAACAGCAACAACTGCAGCAGCAGGGGCCTGTACACGAGTGGCACAAGGAGGAGGGCGAGTCTGTGCCGTCCCCGCCATCAGCCGACGGTGGCGGAGAGCACGTGTCTGACATTCTGCAGCGTCAGCAGAAATACCAGCAGCTGCTGCTCCAGCAACAGCAACAACAACAGCAACAGCAACAGTATCAGCAGCAGCAGCAGCCGTACCAGCCGCCTGCGCAGAGCGAGAGCCTGCGCGGGGTGGTGCAAGCGCCGGGGCATGTGCTGTCGCTGATGCGAGAGCAGGGGTCGCCCGCTGACAGCGCCACAGGCTCCGTGTACAGCGAGCAGAGCGCAGCCACAAACAGCTCAGCCGGCCATCACAACCACCATCACCACCAACACCACCAGCAACACCAGCAACACCAGCAACAACACCAGCAACAACACCAGCAGCAGCAACAGCAGCAACACCAGCAGCCTGCGCACCTGCTTGGCCAGACGGCACATCTTGGCCGCAACGGTGGCTTCGTCAGCAGCGGTTTGCACGTCGACACCACCGCTGCGCCACCGCCATCACTATCATCATCATCATCATCATCGCCATGGTCTGTGCAGCCAACCGCCAACGCCACCACCACCACCACAGCCACAACCACGGGTATGGGCACGCCTGCGAGCGACGTGGCTGGTGATGCTGGAGTACTGCACATGCTGGATCAGGACCTGTTTGAGCTTCCACCGCCCGGTGCGGAGGACGATGGTGCCGCAACGCCGGAGCGAACATCTCCGCCACATGCACACGATCAGCAGCAACAACAACAACAACAACAACAACAACAACAACAACAACAACAACAACAACAACAACAACAATATCAGCAGCAACAACAACAATATCAGCAGCAACAACAACAATATCAGCAGCAACAACAACAATATCAGCAGCAAGAAGAAGGAGTTGGCGTGATGCAATCAGGGTATGACGTTGCGCAATCGATGCGGGGCGGCGTGCGCTTCCTGGGACAGGAAGACAACAGCTCTGCAAGCGCTAGCATGGAGCCGCCAGACTTTGGCGCTGACACGCTGTTCAACGAGGGTTATGGCAGCGGCTACGATGCTGACGCTTCCAACGTGATGACGACTGCAGCAGACGATGACTCGGGAGCACAGGCCACGACATCCACGGCCATGCTGGAGGGCGGCGACGATGGCGATGGCAGCGAGCGCAGTTGGCGGCAGGGGCGGCGGTTGCAACGCACCCCGCGCGTGTCCCAGACGCTGTACCACAACACCGGATTCACCCTCGAGGAGTCCACTCCAACACACATCCTCGCATCCTTCACTGAGCATTGTGCGTTGAGAAGACTGGCGGAGAGAGTGTGTGTGCGTGCGTGCGCGTGTGTGTATGTGTTTCTTGTTCCTGCTTTGTGTACCTTCCTGCCTTGCGTCTGATTTCGCGTGCTGTCCCCAAGCAAGTGCCGCCTCACCATGCTGCATGTGCATTGCCTGATTCACCCCGTCCGCAGCTGGCATGACCCTCTTCTCCAACACAACCGCGCAGTCGGTGAGTGTACTCTGTGAACTGCGTGCTGTGTGTGTGCATGTATGCATGTGCGTTACGTTCGTGTATGTGGGTTCGTGTATGTGTGTGCATGCGCTGCCGTGAAGGCGATGCATTACTTGGATCACTCGCCGCGTACGACAGCACGTCCTGAATGCGACCTCACCACGCTCACACTCATGCCCACCACCAACACGCGCTGCTTGCCCAACAAACTATTCATGGTGTCGCCTTCAGCCGAACGAGAGCGGCGCTGGGATTGTGCTGTTGCCGCGATCCATGGACACAGAGGACGACAACTTCACGGTACAGTCCAGCAGCACTGTCACACACAGCGCTGTTGTGTGCGTATCTTGTCTGCGCGACTCGTGATCACACGTGTTGTGTTTGCCGTTGTTGAATTTTGCCATTGTGGCACGCAACGTGGCGTGAGCCGCCCTTGTCACTCGTCGACACCGTCCCAACAGCAACAGCAGCAGCAAGAGCACATGCTCACCACACACACACACATACACACATACACACACACACACGCACGCACACACACACACACACACACACAAACACACACACACAAAATCACGCTTGCAATGACGCACCGCGGCAGGCGTACGGGCTAATGAACCGGGAAGTGGCTGCGTTGTCCGGCAATGCGAGTGCGCTCTTCCCAGACGATCTGCAGTGTGAAGACTTTTTCTGGGGACACTGTCCTTCCTGTCACCTCCCACAGGCCATTGCAAAAACACGTACGATGCACTTTGGACAGGAAGCGTGCGTGCGTGCGTGCGTGCGTGCGTGCGTGTGTGTGTGTGTGTGTGTGTGTGTGTGTGTGTGTGTGTGTGTGTGTGTGTGTGTGGTGTGTTGGCATTTGGTCGCGTTGAAATTTTAACAGCTCCGCTCTCCCCCCCTTCTTTCCTCCTTTCATGACTCACCATCATCCCACCCCCCGCGTACGATCACCACACCCTTTCCCCATCCTCCTTCCCCCTTACACAGAGGTTGAGCAGCTGTGCTTCCAGTGCAACATGCCGCTGCCGGCACCGCGGCCGGGCGCCGACATTGCCTATCTCTTCCCCAAGATCTGCGCATACGAGTACGCACTACTGTTTGGTGTTGGATGCTGGCTGTTTGCTGTTTGCTGTTGCTGCATGTGGCGGTGGTGGTGGTGCATGTGTCTCTGGCAAAGTAGCAATTCACTTGTGTGAGCTGGCCACGTTCTGCTTGGTGTGACTCGCTGCTAACGCTCAATGCAAACACACACACACACACACACACACACATACACACACACATGTGGCTGTGCAGGCGGTTTGAGGAAGGTGTGGTCGTTGGGCTGTTTGCGGCTGCGGGCGGCGGTCTGGCTGTGGAGCGGATTCGCCACGATAATGTCGCCGACGCCGTCGTGTGCGGCGTCATCACCCGCTCAGCACACACCATGTACGCAGCCAAGGGTGGTTGTGTTTGTGGTGGTGGTCATTGTGGTGATGGTGGTTTTGGTTCGGTTTTGTTGAGGGAGCAACTGCTCGTTAACACCATTGGTTGCCTCTGTGACGTGTTCTTACTTGCTTTCATCAAAGTGCTGCGCTGTTGTGCATCACGACAACTGCCCCCACTCCACTTGCCACTGCTTTCTCACCTGTCCGTTGCTGCTTGCACACGTGTTTGTGCAGTGCAAATGCAAACAACGCGAAAGTGCGCAACACCTTTGACGTGGAAACGGTCTGCATGTATGGGTGAGTTCCTCCGCCACTCCTTCACGCCTGTCAAACCAGCACATTGCTCCTGTCCCTCCTTGTGCACAACTTCTACACACACACACACACACACACACACACACACACACACACACACACACACACACACACACACACACACACACACACGCTTAACGCAACCACCCACCCACCCCCTCACTCACACCCGTGTCTCCACCACCACCGCCACCGCACGGCAGCATCGTGCATGTGCTTGTCGGCGGTCCGGTGAAGACGGGCGATTTGCTGTACACGGGGCCGTACGATAACGATGACGACGTGACTGACGAGGACGATGGCTCTGTCACGTCCACGCCGCTCTCCCACGCCACGTCCGGTGCAGCTGTGGGCGAGATGCCTGCAGGCAACAGCCGCTCGCCACCGGCGCTGTCGTCGTCGTCGGCCACGCCCTCGCTCGTGAACGGCGGTGGCCGTCCCGACACGGACACAAACACACACACGCAGACGGCAGCACGCACAAAGCAGCCCGTCCTGACACGCAGCGGACACGACGAGGTGGTGTGCAGCAGCGACAACGACGATGATGACAGCGAAGATGATGACAACGACGGCGATGTTGGTGGAGGCTCCGCTCGGGATGAACTGAAACGGCGCCAGCTGGAACGGGTTGCCGGCCACCGGTTTGATGGCGGGCGCGGCAGCGGCGAGTATGACAACGTGACCACCCAAGGCACGACATTCGTGCTTGCAAGCAGCCCAACCTCGCCTCGCTACCAGCAAACACAGCAAGCAGACACGCAGCACCAGCTGACGCAGAAGGAGGCGGTGTCATCGGACACTGGGGCGCCGCCGTCAGCGTTTGGATACGAGGAGATAGCCGTGGCCGATGTTGCAGCTGACAGCAACAGCAACAGCAACAACACCAACACCGACACCGGCACCAACACCGGCACCAACCGGGAGGATGCTGCCACCAAGCCGTCCTCATCCTCACCGCCATCGTCGATGTCCGCGTCCACATCCGCCCCCTCCACCTCCCCGGCGCCGCTGGCACCCCAGCATGGCAGGGTGTCGACCCAGCAGCAAGCAGCCAACCGCAGCAGCACCCCCGGCAACGACGCCGATGTTGCTGATGGTGGTGTTGGAAGTGGCGTTGGTGATGGCGTGTCACCTCGCAAGCGGGGCGTGTTGACGTCGCTGTCGTCAGCGGATGCATGGCCCGCAGGTGTTGCCCAGGCCATGCGCACCTCGCCGTGGTCCAAACAGATTCTGCTGGGCATTGCGCTGGATGGCGGGGAAGGCAGCGAGGTTGAGGTGCGGGATGGGGTGGAGGTGCGACGTGTGCGGGCGCTCATCTCCCTCAACAACAACGTCACCGACGCCGCCATCAAGCAGCAGATTGACGACCTCAACTCGCAACTCAAGCAGCGCGTGGACGGCATTGTGCGCACACAGGAGAATATCCTACAGCGCCTCAAGAAGGTACCGGCAGGGGGTGTTTGTTTATGTATGTGTATGTGTATGTGTATGTGTGTGTGGTGTTAAGCGCTTGCATGGTGCAGTTGTTGCGGTTTGTTGTTTGTTCGCACTTGGCACCGCTCTTTCCTGATCACAATGGTCCTGTGTGTGCGTGTGTGTCAGGTTGAGCGGGCACAGCAGGTGCGCCATCCATCGCTTCATCGTCATCCCTCCGTCACAAGTCAGTCCCGCACCGGGCTCTTGCTCATCACGTGCTTAATGTGTTTTGGGGGAAGGCTTGTGTCCCTATTCACCAGCACAACTCCGCATACCATTGCACAAACACCCAAGTCACGCAAACATAGCGAATGTGGTACTGCCACCCTTGCACGGCCCTCACACCCCACACACCATACCACACCCCACACACCATATCACACCCCACACACCATACCACACAACACTGCTCGCGTCCCCCTCCTCCCCCTCCTTCCCCCTCTCTCCTTCCCAACGTCAGGTTCCAACTCTGTGCGCGTGATACCGTCGACGGGCGGGCTGCTGCTCCATGCGCAGCCGGCGCGCAAACTGGCGCGGCTGCGGCTGTTCCGCAAGCCAACACTCCGCGACCTGCCGGCCATGTGGTGCTTCATCGTCTCCCTTTCATCGCAACGCATGCTTCGCTTCATGCCAGAGACAACGGTGCGTGATTTTGCGTTTGTGTGTGTGTGTGTGGTGTATGGTGTAATTGTGTGCGTTTGTGATTGTGCATTCGTGCTTTTGCGCGTGTGCTTGGATGCGTGTGCGCTTGTGTTGGGACGGTTGTATCGTGGCATTCCTGCAGCGACATGTCTGTGTTTGTAGGTGTGTTTGGCTGTTCACCCCCAGTACTCACACGCTCTCATATCATGCACTCGTCGCCACATTGTGTGTGTGTGCCTTGCAGCGGGTGACATTCACTGGACAGTACGGGACATACACGCGTGTTGTTCTTCTCTGCGGCAGCGACCAGCGCGTGGCGTAAGTTGAATCGTGCTCGACTGGTTGCTCGAGTGTTTGCTCGTTGTACACTTGCAATCCTTGTGGTCTCGGCCAGTCCTCTTCTGTTCTCTCCTCTCACACTTACACACGCTCACGTGCATGTGTATGCACACACACACACACACACACACACACACACACACACACACATTCGTTCGCCCACGCACTCCCTCTCCCCCACATCTTCACATTACTTCCCCCTCCCCGCCCGTACGCCACAGCATCGTCAAACCATTCCAGGGGGCGCGTGCGCTGACGCTGGACGCGAGCGGGCAGCCGCGGTTTGTGCGCGTGGCGTCGCTGGAGGACCTGCCGTGGTTCTCCATCCAGGAAGTCGGTATGTTGCCAGCACGAGTGGTGGTGGTGGTGGTGGTGGTGGTGGTGGTGTATGGCGTGTGACTCTTTTGAATCGTGCCATTGTGAACCTGACGTTCGTTCTGATACGCGCGCGCACACACACACACATCCATCCCTCTCGTGTCGATCCTCCTTACACCCCACTGCCCGCGTCACGACGCCACCAGCGACCAACTACTTCTCGTTCACGCGCGGCGGACGGCACCTGGCTGTTTCTGCCAGCGGGCGGCCGTACCCGAACTACAGGCGAAAGTCCACATTCGACAAGCGCGCCTGCTTCGGTGCGCTTGCGTTTGCGCGCGCGTGTGTGTGCATGTGCGCGTGTACGTGTGTGTGTGCATGTGCGCGTGTACGTGTGCGTGTGCGTGGCTGCATGACTTCAAAACGTTTGCTTCGGGCAGCGTTGTTTGTGTTGGTCGCGTGCGTGTGCGTTGTGCGTATTCGGGGTTTCTCCTCACCCTTTGCATCATGTGATTGTCTGCTTGCATGTGTTGCTGTGCAGAGATTCGCCAGGACGTAGCCTCACATCAGTCAACTACAAGTACGCAACCCATCGACTGCCATGCTCGTGTCTCTCTTCACCTTCGCTTATGCTCGCCTTTCTACACACACACACACACACACACACACACACACATGCATATGTGCACACGTGCACACGTGCACACATACACACACACATGCAAACACACACACACACACACACATCCGCGCCTCCTCCTCCTCACCACCACCATCACCAACCACCATGGCGTCCACCTCCTCAGAGCGGCACATGCTCGTGTCGCGGTTTGATGACGTTGAGCACCACCTGCGCCCCGGCCGCCACCTGCACCTCACCCGCAGCGAGAAGCAGCGCGTCCTCAACCTCAATGCCTTTGCAGACAAGCGCGTGTGTCTGTGCCGCCTGTATGCCCAGACCACGCAGGAGGCCGTGCGCGTCTTTGGCGGCAAGGTGCGGTCGCAGTCGCGCTCATTTGTGTCATGGACGTATATGTGTGTGTGTGTGCATTTATCCTGTGTGTGTTTGCATACCCTTGTGTGCGTGCATGTGTGATTCTGTTGCCCCACACTCTGCATCTCCCTTGTCCACTCACCTCGTCTCGCCTCTGCTCTGCACAACACGACACGACACCTGTGCACAGGTGGATTGCAAAGGCCACGGGCTGCAGTCACTTCTCGCATTCGAAGTCATCAGCCGCCCTCTTGTCAGGTCTGCAACACTACCCTGCACACGCGCCTGGAAAGACTGTGTGTGTGTGTGTGTTGCGCTCCTGGTGATTATTCTTCCCGCACCCCACAATCCAAAAGTCACCCCGAACCTCACACCACATCACACCACATCACAACCCATCACAACACACCACATGACACCACACGACACCGCCCCTTGTCCGTGATTTGTTTGCAGACTGCTGCACGCCGACGGGTACATTGGCCTGAAGGACGGTCTCCCTGTCTTCACCACCGCCACGGACGCATCAACCGCCTTTGAATGGATCTCGACAGAAGGTGCGTGTTTTGCGTCGCGTGCATGTGTGTGCGTTGTGTGTTGTGTACAGGCAACGGTGGCCTTTGTCACAACATCACCACGCCTGAATGGTGTATCTGTACTCACCCCATCCCATCCCAACCTCCACCTCCCCCCCCCAAATTACAGATGGTGTTGCGCTGCGGTGCGGACAGCACTACCTCTGCTTTGATGAGGACGGCAACCCACGCGTCTCCACCACCATCACGCCTGCTTGCATCTTCGGTTCGTTTGTCTGCGCGTGTGTGCATGTTTGTGTGTTGTTGTATGTGTGTGTGTGTGTGTATACGACCACGAGCGTCTCTGTGATCGCTGCTACTGATCGAATGTGTTTCATGTGTCCTCACGCCACAACACCACCGCCACCGCAACCCCGGCAATTGACACTGCACCGTGCAGTGGCGGACATTGGAGAGCAGCTGGCACACCATGCGAAGACGGATGCCGACGAGTCTGATGCGTCGATACTCTCTGACGTGGACGAGGCAAGCAGCGGCGATATCACAGACACCGACCACTATGACACGGACGGCGACGGTGCGTTTGAGGAAGTGCTCACCGCTGCCAACGGCGCAACCGCCAGCAAGCGGAACGAGCGCGCGAACAACAGCAACAACAGCCGCGACAAGAGCATCCCCAACGCCAGCACCAACACCAACGCCACCAATGACGACGACGACGACGACGACGATAATGCTGGTACCGACAGCGGCGTTGACCGCCCGTCCCGGGCACGGAGACGAAAGCGGCGGGGAATGAGCCCTCTTCGCCGCGAACACACAATCGCAGGCACCCCCGACGAGCTGAGGGAGCTGGACGACGTGGTTGATGTCGACTTGCACGGCGACGCCGACGGCAGCGGCAGCAGCGGTGGTCGGCGTAGTCGACGGCGAAGCAGCAACAGCAGCAACAGCGGCGGCGGTGGTGGTGGTGGGAAGACGGCGAGGCGAAGCCAAACAGCGGGCGCGTTGTCAAGTGTTATGAGCGGCAGCAGCAGCAGCGCGACTGGTGCTGTTGATGCAGGGACTGTTGGCGATGAGCGTAGTGGGGGCGCTGGTGTGTTGGCGAGAGAAGAACAACAGCAACGTAAACAATCAAAGCCGCACCGCCGTGCTCGTGGTCGCGGTGGTGATGATGGTGATGGTGATGGTGATGATGACAGTGAAGGCGATATTGACAGTGATGGTGGCGATGATGAAGGCCGAAGAGTTGAAGTGCAAGGCAATGCAACTACGGACTTCACCATGGTGCCAACACCATCATCGTCGTCGTCGTTGTTGTCGTCATCATCATCGCACCAGCAGTGCGACCGCATTGCGCTGTGCTTCGTGCACGCCAGCCGCCCTGTCGTCGTTCAGTGCGAGACAGCAAACTTTGCCATCAAAATTGGTGCGTGTGCGCGTGTATTGTGTTGCTTGTGTGTGCGTGTGTGTGCATGTTCATGTTTTGTTTGCTTTTGTGTGTGTGTGTGTGTGTTTATGTGTGTGTGTGTGTGTTTGTGTGTGTGTTCATGTTTTGTTTGCTTTTGTGTGTGCCCTTTGTGCGTGTCGGTGATTGTCGCGTCGTGTGCACACCCACAGTGATTCCGTTCATGTTTTGTTTGCTTTTGTGTGTGCCCTTTGCGCGTGTCGGTGATTGTCGCGTCGTGTGCACACCCACAGTGATTCTATCGCACCCCCACCCCACCTTTGCCCCGCATTCTCACCTCACCTTCCCCTACAACTTCTCGCCCTCTCCCATTCCCCTCCCCTCTCCCCGCCACCAGGCCGCTCCAAGCCGCTGTGTGTGTATGTTGCCCGCAGCAGCCATCCCGTTCCCAGCGACGAGCTTCCCTTTGAGTTCTTCGCATGTGTGCACACGCACGCGCGCAGCGACAGCGGCAACCACAGCAGCCGTGACGGCCGTGATCACCGTGGTGGCAGTCGTGGCGGCAGTCGCGACGACGTGAATTATGATGGTGGTGAGGATGAGAGCCGGCAGCCCTGGCAACCATGGTTGGATACGAGCAGCCTGACGGTGTGGGGATACAACAGCGCGGAGGACGAACTACAGCGCATTAGCCATGCTGTTCTCCTTCAGGACGCGTCAGAGCAGCAGGCAGAGCAGGGAGCCACCACCACCGCCGCCGCCGCCACACATGCAACCATACAGCACCGGGATTCGCAAATCTTCCTCGTGTAGCACGTGAGATGGATGATGGATGATGCTGCGACTGTTGATGCTGATGGTGATAATAACGCAGGCGTGACGTTATGTTACAGTACGCCATGCCAAAATCTTGATTTCCTTGTTTCCTGGATGCTGCTTTTGTCACGACATTGGTGTTGTGTTGTGTTGCCATGTGTCACACACACACACACACGCGCGCGCGCGCACGCATCGCATCACATCACGTGACACGTGACACGTGAATCTCACCTTAGCTTTTGGCTTTCCTTTGAATTCTTCCTTCTTATTGTTCGGCTTCACCTCCTTTTTGTTGTCCCTGTTTACCCCACCACACGTTTTGTCTTTGGCTTCCTTGCGTTTTCACAAATCTTCGTTGATATAAGCAGTGCTGTTGCTGACCCCCTTCTTTTGCTCTCATGCACGAGATTTAAATCGAATGTGTGATCTGATTGGTCTGAGTTGATTAGGCAAGCAAGGCAGGGTGGGCTGTTGCTTTCTTTGGTCGTTGCTGTGTGTGTGTGTGTGTGTGTGTGTGTGTGTGTGTGTGTGTGTGTGTGTGTGTGTGTGTGTGTGTGTGTGTGTGTGTGTGTGTGTGTGTACTCTGGAACATAACACCAACAACAGCGCGCGTGCACACGCACGCACCACACACCCAGTTGTGTCATCGTCGAGTGTACGATTAGCGCTGACATTCATGAATTTTCCACAACCCAAACAAGCGACAAAGCAAAGCAAGAAGCAAAAGGATAAAAGGAGAGAAGGGGAAAGGACCACCGAACCAGAGCAGACAAGGTCAACAACACGCGCACGCACCCTCGCACCGAAACACGAACACCCGACGACCACCACCATCAGCAGCACTGCCCTGCAGCATCACCACCACCACCACCACCACCACCACCACCGCAGGTGATCGTCGATACTGGCCAACACAAGAGACAGGCAAGCGCTTGTGCAGCCAGCATCATTTTCCAAAGTGGCCGACGCTCCACGCAAGTCGTTGGCTTTGCAAGCAGAAGCAGAAGAAGCCGCAGAAGAAGTGGAAGCACGTTGTTGTGCGCCAAGATGTGTGTTCAACTTGGGGGACTGAGCCTGAATTGGGCTCTGTGGAAAGAAGCCCAGCAGCGAGACGTCAAATTTGCTCAGGCACTTGTGTGCACTACATTGAACGATGCCATGGACTTGTTCCAGGTGGCCGAGCACCACTTCTTTGTGGAATGCAAAGCTGCGTGCCCCACTTGCCCAAAGAACAACTGCACTCACACGCGAGGTCGCTTCAACAGCACTAAAGGCACGTTGCCAAGACACCACGCCTGTGCTTGTGTTTGTGTTGCGCTCATGGTTGTCCTCATTGTGGGTGTGCCTGTGGAGTTGGCTACTGCCTTTGACATTGTGTCTTGCTTGCCTGTTGCATCAACGAATGCCCGGCTGACTAGCTGAGGCGCTGTCGTAACACATTTCCGCTCTTCGCTGCATGCACTTTGTACCATGTGGTTGTAGACTCCAAGCGACGGACGTCTACACACGCTTTTTTCAAGGAGCTGTTGGGCCACCGGTTTCCCATCACCGACGAGCTTCTTGTAGCCACGTGGAAGCTCATCGACAGCTGCGATTACGGCATCAAGTAAGCATGCACGGCTTGGCGCAGGAATGGTTGCCCTTGCAGAACAGTTTGCTTGCAAAGTTCACTCAATCACTCAATCACTCAATCACTCACTCACTCACTCACTCACTCACACATACACACACACACTCACTCACTCACTCACTTACTCACTCACTCACTCACTCACTCACTCACTTACTCACTCACACAACATCCAAAGGAGAAATGGTGCTGCGAAGAGAGACCGCGTGTGCGTGCATCCATATCACTATGCTGTGCCGCCCCAACACGAGGCTGAGGTGTTTCAGATACTCGTGCGCGAGTGCCGGAGGATGGGGTTTGCGGTCTATGTCAATGGCAGCATGGATGCGGACACGTGTGAGCCCGGAGACCTGGCAGACCTTGCGGCTCTCCTCAAAGACCAAGGTGCAGTATTGTGTGTGTGTGTGTGTGTGTGTGTGTGTGTGCGTGTGTGTGTGTGCCCTCTGTGCTCATTTCTTTGTGCTGTTGATAAGGCATGTGCGTGTTCCCTCCTGAGCTTGGTTGCCTCCCTTTCACACCCGCCATCGACGACTATAACAACACATTGCTTGCGCGTCACCTGCAGGTGACGCGTATCTGCAAGCGGCATTGCAGCACCACCAGCCCCAACAACAACATCTGCCGCAATCAGTGTCGCACGGCGGTAAGCAACGTAGTTCGTCACGTGACAACAGAATTGTTGAGAAAAGCAACGCGACTTCACCTTCACATGTGCGCACGCACACACACACACAAACACAATACACACAATGCGCACACACACACACACAAACACAATAACCACAAATGCACACACACACATACTCACGCATGCACCCGTGATCACACCCTTCCCCCCCCCTCCTTTTTCGGCATTAATAGCATCGCCGTCTTCATTGTCGTCGTCGTCGTCGTCCAGTGCTCGGAGCCCGCGGAGGACCGGACCGATTCGCCACTCGCGCACACGCGCGCAGAAACACGGACGCGCGCACACGACACAGCCATACACTCTCCCCGACCACCACCAGCAAGGACGCCAGCCGCCACCTGACGGTGGGATGGGCGGTTCGGTCCCGAACATGCTGGGCGGAGGTGCAAACGACCCCGAGATGCTGACGACGACGGCAGGCGCCTCGGTGCCACGAGGATGGTCAGACATATTTGACATCCCTCCAGGTGCGGTGGCAATCGTGGTGGTGCGTGATTGAGTGATGGCGTGATTGCGGCTGTGCGCATGTTCATGGCAGTGCTCGTCGCGACAATGGCATTGGTGTACAGGGCTGGTGATGTCATGTTGATCATGTGTGATGTTGATTGACTGCGAGAGGGTTCCGCCTCACCACTTGATCAGTGCCGCTGTTACGCTCTTGCACTCAAAAATCATAGCGCCAACATCTCACGTACACTCAACAACACTCACACAATCAACTACCGCACACGCACTCAACCACACAACCCAACTCCCCCTCCTCTCCAATGGTCAGTTGTTGGCTCGCCATCTGGACACTCGTCGTCATCGATGGACGCAACGCCGTCGCCACAGGCCGGCATGCAGCTTGTCGGTGCAGACATGATCAACTTTGGCAGTCTCCACGACCCGCAGCTGCAGGAGGAGATGGACGGTGCGCACGCGTTTGGTCTGGCGTTCAGCCCACCAGCATCCATCCAACAACAGCCACAGTTCCAACAACAGCAGCAGTTCCAACAACAGCAGCAACAACAGCCACAGTTCCAACAACAACAGCAACAACAGCCACAGTTCCATCAACAACAGCAACAGTGGCAAGAACAGCACCTCTCACCGCTGTCGCCACAAGAATCACCACCTTCGCTCGCACACACGCTTTCAGAGGGCTTGCCAGCCCACCCACCGCAGCCATCGTACGCATCATCACCTGGGGCAGGGCTGTCACCATCGTCGGCAGCAACAAGCGGGCTCTCGCCAGCCACAACCACGACCACAAGTGGCATGTCACCCGACGCACCCATCATACCATCACCAGTGCCATCACACGCATCACTTGACGAACTGCTGTCGATAGAGGTGTGGATGGCAAACTGCCCCTCCTGCGGCATGCTCCAAGTCGTCTTCAACGTCAGCTGTGAGTTGGCTGTCGTGCTAGTGCGTGCACTTGCGCTTGTGTTTCTTGCCCCTGTGCCGTGTGTGTTCTTGTCATTGTGTGTGTGTATGTGTGTGTGTGTGTGTATTCGGGTTCACCAATCACCAACACCACCACTGCCTCACCCATCCTCATCTGCACAGGCAAGTGCTTTCAGTGCGGGGCCGATCTCACCAGCACGGGTGCCGACATTGCCTACCTCTTCCCCAAACTCCGCGCATCAGAGTACGCGCACACCCAGATGTGTCTTCTTTGTTTCTTGGTGGTGCTGTTGTTGCTGTGCTCGTGTGTGTGCTCGTGTATGTGCTCGTGTGTATGTGTGTATGGTGCACACATTATCATTGCAAGGCATTCAGGTGTGAACTTGTGTCGTTCAACCCAAAGTACGCACCCGCATACACCCGCCCATGTGTGTGTGTGTTATGCAGGTCATTTGAGGAGGGCGATGTTGTTGGTCTGTTCTCGGCTGCGGGCGGGCGTCTGGTCATTGAGCGGTTGCGCCGCGAGAACGTTGCCGGTGCTGTCGTGTGCGGTGTCATCAGCAGATCAGCACACACCATGTACGCATTACCGCATACTGTTGCATTCTTCTCCATCGGCTTGTGTGCGCGCGTGTGTGTGAAATGCTATTGCCATGTCGTGCGTGCATGTGTGAAGTTGTGCTTCCTGACAACACCTCACCTTCGACCTCACCACACCATCACTCCACCACACACCGGCATGCCAGCGCCAATCGCCGGGAAGTGGAGTCACTCCCTGTGCAGCACATCGACCTCGTGTGCATGTTCGGGTGAGTCTATGTCACGCACTGGTGGACACAGCTTGGTGGTGGTGGTGGTGGTGGTGGTGGTGGTGGTGGTGGTGGTGGTGGTGGTGTGCATGTATTTGCTGCAGACACCACTCAGTGTTGTTGAATGTCGTGAACGGGCGACGAGACGTGGTTGTTACCACCAATCACGCTGTGCAGGGTACCGGGGCTCAATGATACAGCACACATGCACACATGCACACATGCACACTCATGTACCCGTGCACACTCACTCACTCACGCACACACGCACACACGCACACACACACACACAATCTCGCCCACTGACACCCAAATCCCACGCCATGTACGCAACGGCACGTGCGATGAATGGCACACAGCACAATCGAGACGAAGGTCGGGGGTCCTGTCAAGACGGGGGATCTGCTGTACACGGGGCCGTATGCGGTCTCGCTGGAGGACGCAGCCGCAGAGTTTGAACTGCTCAGCATCCACGACGACTATGATGATGATGATGATGATGATGATGATGATGATGATGATGATGATGATGATGATGATGATGATGATGATGATGATGATGATGATGAGTTCGGTGATGAGAGTGGTGGGGATGGCGGTGGTGACACGGCTTCTTCTGATCATCGTGATGGTAACAAGACAGCTGCATCGGTAACGAAAGCAGGCACCGTTGCGTCAACTGCTGAGGCAGATGCAACTGCGCCCAAGAATGATGGTGACGACGACGGCGACGATGATGATGACGACGAATGGGTGATGATTGAAGTTGAGGAGAGCGCGGTGCTTGACAACCACTACTCCGTGTCGTACTTATCAACGCAGGTGTCACGTGTCGAGTCGACTGAAGCACCCGAGGGCGATGCTGCGAGTTCAAAGCAGCACGTCGGCGCCCACGCCACCCCCGCTGTCACTCCTGGCGATCGGCAGAGCAGCAGGCGACGGAGCACGAGCGCCAAGAAAGAGCGAAGCAGCAGCACCACCAGCCACGGCGACAATGATGGTGGCAAGCAGAGGAAGGCTAGTACTGGCAGCGCCAATGGTAGGCGTCGCAACAACAGCAACAGCTCGAGCACCAGCAAGAACAGCAGCAAGAGCAAGCAGCCGTCTCGCATGCCCACCATCACCAGCACCACCGTACATGCAGGCAACGCTGATCACGCCAGTGCTGCCAGTGCTGAGTGGCCCGCAGGTGTTGCCCAGGCGAGCGCGCACCCGCAGCCAAGCCAGATTCTGCTGGGCATTGCGCTGGATGGCGGGGAAGGGAGCGAGGTTGAGGTGCGGGATGGGGTGGAGGTGCGACGTGTGCGGGCGCTCATCTCCCTCAACAACAACGTCACCGACGCCGCCATCAAGCAGCAGATTGACGACCTGCGTGTGCGTCTGGAGGCGAGGATGCAAACCATGTCACAGCACACACGCGACAACAAGGACGAAATCAGCGCTCTCAAAGCACGCGTGCACGAGGTGTGGTGTGTACGTGTGTGTGCGTTGTGCTGTGTTATGTGTGTTGTGTGTGCTGTGTGAGCTCATGTGTGTGTGTGTGTGTGTTTGCATGTGTGGGTGTGGGCGCGCGCGTGTGTTGTGTATGTGTGGGTGTGTGCTGTGTTGCATTGCGTAATTTCCACCGTGAGATGTGTACACGGGCATGTTACCTCTGCGTGCCCGTGCCTGTCCACCCTCGCTTTTCACTTGGACTGATAACCAGCACCACATGACCCTCCTCCACACATTGCATTAGCTTGAGCTTGCGACGAAGAACACGCGTCCGCGTGCAGGAAATCGCTGCCACATTTCCCGACGCGCACACGGACACACACGCGCGCGTGCGCACCGCCGTCAGCGAAGTATGTGGACTGGCAGACAGCAAGGTGGGATGGTTGTTCGGTGTGATGATTGCACATCGCTCGTCTATTCTAATGCGTTTGACATGGTGTCTCGTTTGTCTAAAGTTTCCTGACACACCGCACGCACACACACACACACACACACACACACTGACTCGGTTTGACACGCGTTTTCCTTTGCCTCAATCGTGCAACAACACACACACGCACACATGCACCAACTCAAACATACAAACATCGCAACACTTCAAACACTTGCAGAGTTTGAGCACGTGCTGTCGTGGGACGATCTGGTGACAGCGAGCGAGCCGCTCACACGCGACACAGTGCACACACGCACGTATTCGGACATTGTTCGAGGTGGCAGTGATGATGTTGGCACCATGCGTGTTGTCAAGTGCTTTCTCCTCTCCAACGAATCAGCAAAGTTTCTCGCATACTCCAAGCGACACGTACGAATGGGCCGAAGTTGCCGTGTGTGGTGTATGTGCGTTGTGCATGCTGCTTATGCGCGTTTGCGTTACATGTGTCATGTGTGGGGCTGCGAAAGGTCGAGAGCACTGCATCTTGCTCCAACACCTTCTTACCATCACGATCATCATCGGCACCATCAGGGCGTCAGTGCGGACTGTGATCGCCCGCGCCGCTGTACACGCGTCACCCTCCTCATCAAACCAGACGCCATGCACGCATGGTGAGGCCAGCGGTCTTCTTCGCTATTGTGTGTGTGTGTGTGTGTGTGTGTATGTGTGTGTGTGTGTGTGTGTGTGTGTGTGTGTGTGTGTGTGTGAGTGTGTGTGTGTGCGAGTGAGTGTGGTGTGTATTTCCGCAAGAGAGTGGCTGCTCGTCTGTGTCGTTTGCTTATGCCACGAGATACATTCACCTCCCCAACTTTCCTCATACCGCGGCTGCGCGTTGCTTTGCGTCACAAACAGGGAATTGGGAGAGGACATTCCCGATGATGAGCTTAAGGCGATGATTGAGGAGTTTGACCAGGACAACGACGGAGAGAGTGAGGAAGACGTAGCTTGTGCGTGTGTGTGCATCTGTGTGTTGTATGTTGCCATGATGGTGCTGTCTTATGACCGTTTGATGTCTGTTTGAAGTGTTCTATGAATAACATGGTGTCGACATGGTGTTGACAATGCGCCATATCTGCCAATGCTTCCATCGCAGTCGCTCACCCCTCAACCCTGTC